CATATTTGACACATAGCTGGTATAGAAGTAAATATGGAAAAGATAGGGCCTTGGAAGAAGCTGTGCAAGTGAGGGGCCCTGAAGCTTAAACTTCATTAGCTTCACAATAAACCTTTGTTTTTTGTAGGTTTTGTCTGCTCTTTAAGATATTTGAGTCAAAGATTTCAGATCCACTTACTGGCCAGCCGCCAAAAAAAAAAAAAAGATATTTTTAAGTATTCATAAGAATCAGCCAAACTAAAACTTTAATTGCAGTTTAAAATTTAAATAATATTTAATAAAGCTTGTAAACAATGTTTAAATACTCAAAAATTTGATTTCAAGTTTTATTAGCTGTGTTTAATAAATTTAGCATTAAACAAATACTTGTGAATGTTCCGCTCTACTTATAAAAAGCTTCTCTGATATTAAAAGAATTCTATCAGTATTGTCCATTTCATAATGATTATTACTGGTAGAAATAATCAGTACAACATAAAACTGAAAATGGCTAAAACTCCACCCAGTAAAATGCTCTTAGATCAAAAAAAAAAAAAAAAAAAAAAAAAAAAAAAAAAAATTGGAAAATCACATCTGTGTATAACATTGAAAACTATAAGAACTCACCCTAAATAAAATTATACTTGATAGAAATAACTAGCAGCCATGAAACTACTGTGGCAGATGTGAAAAATAAGTAAAATATGGAATGGATCAAATTTGGATGATGAGTTAAATCCTCATTGTAAAGTTTGCACAGGAAATAATTAATCCACATAAAAATGATATCAGCAAAATTAAGAATGGGGAAAAAAAAAACCTGGACATGGCTACTAGAGTAACATTATACTAAATACTTAACAGGGAATTAAGTCTAAATGATAATTCATCAATGTTGGGACAGTTCTGGTTAAAACGTGTGTATTTAGGGCCGACCCCGGCGCACTCGGGAGAGTGAGGCACTGGGAGCACAGTGATGCTCCCGCCGCTGGTTCAGATCCTATATAGGAATGGCCTGTGCGCTCACTGGCTGAGCGCGGTGCGGGTGACACCACACCAAGGGTTGCGATCCCCTTACCGGTCACGAAAAAGACAAAAAAAAAAATGTGTATATTTACAAAGTAAAGGCAAAATGACCTTGGAGGTTAAAATGGCATGTCAAAAACATCAGGATAATGAATTTTAAGCACTTAGCAGAATTAAAGTACGTTCCTGGCACATGGCACATATTTAAAAAACACCGGGCTGGCCCGGTGGTGCACTGCTACAGTGCGCCTGCGCTCCCACCGAGGGTTCGGATCCCACATACAGACCGGTTCCCGCTCACTGGCTGAGCGAGGTGCGGGTGCAGCACCAAGGGTTGCGATCCCGTTGCCGGTCCCGGTCCGGTACGGGCGCGACACTGAGGGTTGCGGTCCGTTGCCGGACACGAAAAAAGACAAAAAAAAGGAAAAAAAATAATAAAATAAATAAATAAATAAATAAATAAATAATAAAAATAAAAAACACCAAGTTGGGGTTTTTTTTTCCGCTCTCAAAAAAAAATTTTTTTAGGTCAGTTGGTTAGAGTGCAGCCTATTAACACCAAAGTCAAGGGTTCGGTTCTCCATACCAGCCAGCTGTCAAAAAGAAAACTTTTAAAAAAAATTGTGGTAAAATATACATAACATAAAATTTACCACTTTAACCATTTTAATCGTACAGTTCAGTAGCATTGAATATGTTCACACTGTTGTGCAACCATCACCACAGTCCACCTCCAGAAATTTTTCATCTTCCCAAACCCAATCTCCATACTCATTAACACTAATTCCTATTTCCCCCTTGCCCCAACCTCTGGGAACCACAATTTGACTTTCTGTCTCTGTGAATTTGACTATTGTAGGTACCTCATATAAGTACTGTCATACTATATTTGTCCTTTTGTGACTGGTTTATTTTGCTTAGCACAATGTTATTCATCCATGTTGTAGCATGTATCAGAATTTCCGTCCTTTTTAAAGCCGAATATTTTTATTTTTTATTTTTTATTTTTTTTAAAGATGGCCGGTAAGGGGATCTTAACCCTTGATTTGGTGTTGTCAGCACCAAGCTCAGCCAGTGAGCGAACTGGCCATCCCTATATGGGATCCGAACCCGGGGCCTTGGTGTTATCAGCACCACACTCTCCCGAGTGAGCCACGGGCCGGCCCTAAAGCCGAATATTATTCCATTGTATGTCTATACCACATTTTGTTTATCCATTCATCTGTCGATGGACATTTGGGTTGCTTCCATCTTTTGGCTATTGTGAATAATGCTGATATGAACATGGGTGCACAATTATGTTTGAGTCCCTGCTTTCAATTCTTTTGGTTATATACCCAGAAGTGGAATTGCTGAATCATATGGTAATTCTATTTTTAATATTTTGAAAAAAAGCCTACTGTTTTCTATAGTGGCTGCACCATTTTACATTCTCACTAGCAGTGCACAAGGGTTCCAATTTCTCCACATCCTTGCTAACACTTGTTGTTTTCTGTTTTTTTGATAGTAACCATCCTAAAGGGTGTGTAACCAGATTGATTTTAAAGGACAATTTCTCTTCTCACTCTCACTGTGGATTTCCCTGACAGCTCCGTCTGGGAATAATGTGTGCAGCCCACCTGCAAAGGGAAATGGAAGACTTCTCAGAAATCCTTTCCATGTGACAGGAAGACTTCAATCTGACAAAACTAAAATTTGAGAAATGAATTTACTACACACATGCACAAAGTAAATGACAATTATTTTAGTACTGTTTGAGAATTTAACCATCTACTCAATTTATCAGACCATCAAGCTCTTGAAAAGATGTGCAAAAATCTTATTTTGACGTTTTGCATTATTTTATATTTTAAGCTAAGACACTTTGGTTTCTAATTTTTAAAAAATGTTATAATCTTCTCAGCTGAATTTATAACTGTTTGAACCCCAAATGAGGTAGATCAACCCAAGTAACCTGCATCTTAAATTCCCCAGAGTAGAATTTCAAACATTTTATCCTACATATCATAAATATGCTCTTACTTGTTATAGACCATGTGTGTTTCAATCACCTGAGGCTTAACATAATAATGTCATCTTGGTATGCCTCAGGCTTTTGTCTTTGGCTGTATCTTGTTTATTTCTCAGTGATTTGGGGGCTTACAGAATTACAAAATTTATGTTCTTAAAGAAGAGAGATGGCACGCAAGCAACATGTGCCCCATAGGTATCATTTGTTTATACTACATAGTGCTTTTAAATTTTCTTATAAACACTTAAAATTCAGAAAATTTCACATAAACACCCACATTTCTGGCGTTTGCTAAAAAAAAACTTAGATGACCTGGTAACACTGGGCCCACATTCCCTATGTCAGCTGCTATTCATCATTACATTTATGTGGTTGTTTTTCTTACTTTGCAGAAGCAACCTTTTTAAAAAATTCCCCTCTGGTTGAGCGCGGTGCGGACGACACCACGCCAAGGGTTGCGATCCCCTTACCAGTCTCAAAAAAAAAAAAAAAAAAAAAAAATTCCCCTCTGTTATCCATCCCACTGCATTTACAGTTTTCTTGCCTGACCCCAGTTGTCATTTGAGTTGGTGACCCAGTTCTAGGATGTTCTAGAAGGTATCGTAATTAGACTGGTTGGTGGAATCAGACTTCCTGGGTTTGAATGCAGACTCCAACACTTAGCCTCTATGTGACTCAATTGCCTCATCTATAAAATGGGGACAATAAATCCCTGTACCAGCCAGCCACCAAAAAACCAAAAAAGTATTAAGGGCTGGGCGGTTAGCTCAGTTGGTTAGAGCGCGGTGTTTTAACACGAAGGTCAAGGTTTCGGATCCCTCTACCGGCCAGCCGCCAAAAAAAAAAAAAGGCAATTTCCAAAATGGGGACAATAATAGTACCTACAAACCTCAAGACTGAGTTATGTAAAACACTTAAATGCAAATGTAAAATACTTAAGACGATGCCTGCAGTCTTAAACAAAGAAAATAAAACGATCCAGGAGCTCCAGGACCATGTCTATCTTATTTACCTTTGTATCCCAGTGGCCAGCACAGGCCCTGTAACAAAAGAGCATCAGTAAATACTTTTAAATAAATAAATGAATAAAAGAAACCTAACAGTCTACTAGTATTTAGAGCAAGGAACTGACAGACGTGTTCCACTCTCTATAGGAGCGCCACGTTTTATAAATAGTTGAAGCACTGGGGATGTATTAGCCTGTATTAGACTGGGGTGGGGACAGTGAGGGACGCGGAGAGGAGGTGGGGGTAGGGTGATTGCCATCCTCAGATCTTTTAAAAGGCCATCATCGGTAAAAGGGTGCGGGTTTCTTTTTTTTTTTTTTTTTTTTTTCCTTTTTGAGACCGGCCGCACCGCGCTCAGCCAGTGAGCGTTGTGAACGCACCGGTCATCCCTGTATAGGATCCGAACCCGAGGCGGGAGCGCTGCTGCGTTCCCAGCGCAGCACTCTCCCGAGTGTGCCACGGCTCGGCCGGGTGCGGGTTTCTTAAGCCTCACTGGGAAGAATCAGGACCGGGGAATGTTTTTTTTTAAAAGATGACCAGTAAGGGGATCTCAACCCTTGGCTTGGTGTTGTCAGCACCACGCTCAGCCAGTGAGCAAACCGGCCATCCCTATATAGGATCCGAACCGGTGGCCTTGGTGTTATCAGCACCGCACTCTACCAAGTGAGCCACTGGCCAGCCTACCGGGGAATGTTTTAACTGCGGTTTAGATTAAAGCGTCGTCTGATTGGTCATAGTTTGGCGGGAACAGGAGTACCCTAAAAAGGAAGTGACGTAAGCTTCGCTCAACTGATGGGGGTGGGATTACACGTGTGGAAATGCTGAAGTATTGTTTTGATCGGTTGTTTTCTTGAGATACCGCCCTATCAGCATCTTGCAAATCGTTGCTTCCGCTTGAATGGCGGATTTCGCCCTTAGTAAAGATGGCCGCAGTGGCTTCCAGCCCCACTTGGAGCTCAGTACGCGTTTTCAGGAGCATGGCCGGAGAAGACAGGAAAAAGCGTATGATCCGTGAGCAATGATTGGCTGAAGCGAGAAGCGTCCTGGACGCTGAGTGGCTCCGTCATTCGCGCGAAGGAGTTTGTGGCGCCCGATTAAAGTAGATAGAGTGCTGCCGCAGCAACACTGTTCTGAGGTGGTCTGCGAGCCCACCTGACCGGGACCTTCTGGGCCTCATTCCTGAGGGAATCGCCGCCATGATGTGGAATAGTAATGATGGGGTCGGGGGTGTGGAGGAAAAGGAGAATCGCAGGAGGGCTTAGCAAAAGGGCGAGCCTTGGGTCGGAGAGACTTGAGGTGGCGGGAGGGCGAGGGGTGGGAGGCGGAGGTGGCGGCGTTTGGGGGCCGGGGAAAGGCCGTGAGGAATTAGGCAGACGGGGAGTGTTTGGGAGGGCTGAAGCCCCAGGAAACCGGCGGACTTTTAAGAGGCTCGAAAAGCAGCTCAAGGGTCGGCCCGTGGCTCACTTGGCAGAGTGTGGTGCTGATAACACCAAGGCCCGGGGTTCGGATCCCATATATAGGGATGGCCGGTTCGCTCACTTGGGAGAGCGTGGTGCTGACAACACCAAGTCAAGGGTTAATGTCCCCTTACCGGTTATCTTTAAAAAAAAAAAAGAAAGAAAGAAAAGGGCGAGGGGCGGGAGGCGGAGGTGGCGGCGTTTGGGGGCCGGGGAAAGGCCGTGAGGAATTAGGCAGACGGGGAGTGTTTGGGAGGGCTGAAGCCCCAGGAAACCGGCGGACTTTTAAAAGGCTCGAAAAGCAGCTCAAGGGCCGGCCCGTGGCTCACTTGGCAGAGTGTGAATTAGGCAGACGGGGAGTGTTTGGGAGGGCTGAAGCCCCAGGAAACCGGCGGACTTTTAAGAGGCTCGAAAAGCAGCTCAAGGGTCGGCCCGTGGCTCACTTGGCAGAGTGTGGTGCTGATAACACCAAGGCCCGGGGTTCGGATCCCATATATAGGGATGGCCGGTTCGCTCACTTGGGAGAGCGTGGTGCTGACAACACCAAGTCAAGGGTTAATGTCCCCTTACCGGTTATCTTTAAAAAAAAAAAAGAAAGAAAGAAAGAAAAGAAAAGCAGCTCAGGTACTAATACTGTTGTTCGAAACCAGGTGGATACGAAAACTATGGCAGCTCCGCTTATGGAGGCGCCGGCGGCTACACACAGCCCCCGGGGGGCTTTGGATCGCCGACACCGTCTCAGGTTGAAAAGAAATCAGTAGGTTGAGCGTATTTCGTTTTATTTTATCCCGTCCTGAAGCCCCTAACTCATCCGTGGGAAAAAAAACTTATGCGGCGAAGGAAGGGGGTTGAACACGAACTGATGCGATAATGATCGATTGGTTATCTGTGTCTCTCATAATTAAGTGCTGTCTGTTTTTAAAATGAAATCTTCCCTAATTTTGCACCGACTGTTTCTTTGGCTTTATTTTGAAATTTATCAGTACAGCTAGTCAGTCTTGTGGGAAAACTCTGGACATGTATTAACAGCCTGTTTTACATTCTTCATGTATTCAAAGTCGTCTTTTAATTAAATATAGCGAAGCGACGCAGCGCGGTGAAAAAAGCATGGTCTTTGAAGTCTAGTAGATCTGTGCTCTGCCATTGCTTTGACACTTTACTTACAGGGTGTCACTGGATAAATGACTTAGCGTTTTGGGGAGTCAGCTTTGCGCCTATTAAATACGGTTAATAATATGTACTTTACGAGGTGGTTGTGAGACTTTAATAGTATATACGAAGTGCCTGTCCCATAGTCGTTTTCAATAAATGGTCCCGGATATTATTATTGAAAAGAATATGGGCTTTGGAGCCAGAATATGTAGGCTCCAGAATCAACTTTGCCTTTTAACTGGCACTGTGACTTTAGTGAAGCAACTTAAAACCTATGGCCCTCCGTTTTTCTCATCTGATAATGGTAGGAGTGCTACTCATATCACGGGGTGGTGCTGAGAATTGATAAATAAGGTAATGTGTAGGAAAGTGATCTGCAGAAAGCTGTTGAAATGTTTCTTATTCACTCTTTCAGAAATGAGTTTGCATTTAATAATTGCTGTTGATTTCATCTTATGAACACAGGGTTAATTTGGCTTCTTTCAGGTATCACTCAGATGTATTAAGATTCAGTAGGAACAGGTTGTATTGGTATACAGGTGAATAAGCTTTTACCTAAAACTGTTGATTCACGGGTGTATATTGATGGGAAAATATTCAGTGGTAATCCCCGTACGTTTCGGTATTGCTTTACATTCTTCATATGAATTATTGCATATAATCCTGTGAGGTATTTATTGTCTACTCCAGCATACAGCAGAGATTCTGGTATATTAAGGGACTGCCTAAGCTTGCATAACTAGTAAGTAGCTGGAACCAGACAGTGAGCACATGATGCTGAACAAATCCAAAATCTGGTGAGCAGCAGCTTCTCCCTAATGTAGTTTTCTTTTTCCGGAAAGACCAAAGGGGACTTCAGTTCTCTAACGTCATCTTTCTTGAGGCTGTGAAGGAAAAAACAAAAGATAGATTAATGGTTCTCATCTTTTCTCCTCAAGCTTAATTTTTTTTTTCTTTTCTTTTTTGGCAGCTGGACTGTGGGGGGATCCAATCCTGTGACTTTGGTGTTAAAAGGCTGCATTCTAACCAACTGAGCTAACTAGCCAGCCCCAACCTTAGCAATTTTTCTTCATTCTTGTTAGAATTTGAATCTCAGAATATCTAGTCTGGGTTGTGTATTAAGACAGCTTTTCAGAGAAGGATGATGGTTATAAGCTGAAGACTTAAACCCAGCTCTTCTTGTTTTTAAATCTAGTCTTTTCCTCAGTAAATTAGATAAACACCCTATCTAAAATGTTTCCTATTGAGTACATATTTGTTATATGTGGTTGAACCGTGTGAAATTTCCAGTACTGACCGTTTTTTATCTATAAAAATAGTGATTGTATAAAGTATTGTCAGAGTAACCTATGGTTCATAGTCAGCTGTGAAAATAATTGTTTTTCAAAAATTAAACATTCTTGTGCTGACACACTTCCTGTGAACCTCTGTGGGAAAAAACCAGGAACTCCTTGTGATCAGTTCCTAGCATATAATATGTGCTCAATGAAAAACAAGAAATATCAGATTTGAGATGAGTTTGGAGGCATTATTAACACCTCAACCATTACCCATATGTAACTTTTTTCCAAAGGAGTAATAATATTTATTGAATAACTATGACATGTGGAGATTGGTTTTAGCACTTTGTATAGATTATATGTTTTGTTTACAACTTGACAGGTAGATGTCATCATCTTTCAGAAAAGATGGTGGCACATCCAGGGCTGTGGAACTGGGATTTGAGCACACGTCTATAGGACTGTTTGGCTTCAAATCCCATGTTCTTGCCACTTTATCACACTGGTTCTTAGTTTTCTTATGCCGAAGATAAAATCTCAGCTATGATAGGTAAAACAGAAAATATAAGTAGATTGTGAGAAATAGATCGTGGGACCTCTGCAAAATTAAATCTCTAAATATTAATATAATATTTAACTTCACCTATAAAACAGTATAAGGTAAAATTGAAAAACATGGTTGATCCTTATTAAAAGCTATTGCAGATATAAAGAATGAGGAACATAGCTAACATAATAATTGCTAACATTTATTGAGTACTTACAATGTGCCAGATTGTATTCTAAGTACTTTACTACATAGTTAATTTTCATAATGATTTTAATGATTTTATCATTCCTAGTTTTACATAGGAGGAAACAAGTACAGATGAGTTGAGAAATGTGACCAAAAGCACTCTGCTCCTGAGGGTAGAGCCACAATCTTAACCCTCAAGCCCGGCTGCTGCTTTTTGTGGCGTGTGTCCTGTCTTATATGTAGAACAGGCGTTGAGTTACTTCCTACTGATTTCTGACAGGAAGAACTCTAATCTTTAATTTGCTGTGCTTATTCTGCCTTGTACATATTTCCTCTGTAAGACTGCAGGAGTCTATATTTGCCTTCAGCCTATAATGCCCATCCCATACCCACTATTTTTTCAGTATCAAAATTTCTTGTGCTTCAAAGTCCAGCCCAAATGCTCTGTCTTCTCTAAATTGCCAATAACTTTTTTTCTGAGATCCCACATAGCACATTTCATTCTATAGTGTATCACAGTCAAGTTTGTTGTTTACATTTGTACCTCTCATAGGTTATGAGTATGTTAGAGGCAGATTCTATCCCATCTTACTCATCTTTATGTTACCCAGACCACCCCTTGCCAGTGGTAGGCACAAATAAGAGTTTACACTGTTCTCAGGTTGCTTCAGGATATGATTTGAGTGTCCTCACTAGACACTCTTCTGTCTTCCCCATTCTATCCCTTCCCTTTAAGATATTAAGGGTGGCCAAGCTCCCCAGGAGCTCCTTCTGATTGCCAAAACATCTGTCTTAAGGGAAGCTACACTTCTAACTTTTTGTTATATTTCATTGTGAGACCTAGAGCAGCTCCACAGTCCTGTCTCTGCTACCCATTTCTCAAACCCTTTCCTAGTACCATCTCATTTTGTCAGTGACCCAAACAGCCAGCTCCAGCTTGCCTTCGCCCTAAAGCTGGGGTTTCCTCCTAAAGGCCTGTTCTCACAGCAGGTCCTTCCTTATCCTGTCCCCATTCTGGCCTACTCATCTTGGTGAATTCTTAGCAACACAACATACCCATTCAGCAGGAGCTTTGGAGTCAGACAAACCTTGGTTTGAATTCTAAAGTGTGGCATTTGTTAGATATGACCTTGATTTCCAACTCTGTGAAGCAAGAATAACGAGGTTTGTTTTGAAAATTCAGTGTTCTAGGGCCGGCCCATGGCTCACTTAGGAGAGTGTAGTGCTGATAACACCAAGGCCAAGGGTTCAGATCCCTGTATAGAGATGGCTATAGCTCACTTGGGAGAGCATGGTGCTGACAACACCAAGTCAAGGGCTAAGATCCCCTTACCAGTCATCTTTTTGTTTGTTTGTTTATCATGAATATTCATGAGGTACAAAGCTGATTGTCCCCCCTCCTGCCCATGATGTGGGGGCCAGATTCATACTGGGGGCATATCCATATCTTTTTATAAAAAGAAAGAAAGAAAGGAAGGAAGAAAGAAAAGAAAATTCAGTGTTCTAGTATATTTAAAGTGCTTGGCACATGGTAGTTATTAAATGAGTGGTAATTTTCTTAATTGGATTTTCTCATACTTTTTCAGAGAGCCCGAGCCCAGCACATTGTACCTTGTACCATATCTCAGCTGCTTTCTGCCACTCTAGTTGATGAAGTTTTCAAAATTGGGAATGTCGAGATTTCACAGGTATGTAAAAGAATTTGTGGAAGAGTCACTTAATCATATGAAAAATGAAATAAGACTTACTTTGTTTAAAAATATGTAAGTGTTGCTTTGGTTTCCAGGAAAACCAAACTTTTTTTTTTCCCCAATCTAGGTCACCATTGTGGGGATAATCAGACATGCAGAGAAGGCTCCAACTAACATTGTTTACAAAATAGATGACATGACAGCTGCACCCATGGATGTCCGCCAGTGGGTTGACACAGATGTAAGTGGCTGTTTTTGAATCAGGATGGGGTTACTTTGGGACTTTAGAGATATTGAATTATTTTAGTCTTCTTAAAGTTTTCTGTTATTATAATAATAATACATAAGCAAGACATCAAAGGCAGAAACACTTAAGTGAAAGGTTAATAGATTTGATTACATAAAAGTTTAAAACCTAAACTTCCCAAAATACCATAAACAAAGTTAAAAGGCAAGTGACAGAAGACAGTAGGACATAAATTCTGTGAAAACAAGGATTTTTGTCTTGGTCACACATAACCCCAGCACCTAATGATCCCTGAATAAATACCATTTAAATTAATGGAAAAAATATTTGAAACGTATTACAAACATTTTAAATTTTAATTAATAAAAAAGCTCTTACAAAGCAAAAGAACACTGCACCTTAAAAACATGGACAAAGGGGGGCCGGCCCGGTGGCGCACTGGATAAGTGCGCCGCTTGGGAAGTGCGGCGGCGCTCCCGCCCGAGGGTTCGGATCCCACATACAGACCGGTTCCCGCTCACTGGCTGAGCGAGGCGCGGGGGCAGTGCCGAGGGTTGCGGTCCCGTTGCTGGTCCCCGGTCCGGTGCGGGGGCAACACTGAGGGTTGCGATCCATTGCCAGACATGGAAAAAGACAAAAAAAGACAAAAAAAAAAAGAAAAAAGAAAAAATGGACAAAGATACCCATTTTTATTCAGATAATGAATAAAAGACTAAATACAAATGACAGCAGCAGTAACAAAAGCAGGTTTAATAAACATTGGGATACTATTTTTAACTTATTAAGTTGGCAAAGAAAAAAAAAGAATGACAATATCCAGTTCTGGTGAGAACAACAGCTAGATTAATGTCTCTAGCACTTAGTGGACACTTAATAATTATTTGTTGAATAATTTGTCATTGTTTGTCTAAGAAGTGGATGTCTTCCTACCCTGATAGTATTAATTGATACAACTTTCCTCAAAAATCAGCTTGTATCAAAATCATCAATCATGGGCCGGCCCGTGGCGTGCTCGGGAGAGTGCGGCAGGCGCTCCCACCATGGGTTCGGATCCTATATACGGATGGCCGGTGCACTCACTGGCTGAGTGCGGTGCGGGTGACACTGAGCCAAGGGTTGCGATCCCCTTACCGGTCACAAAAAAGACAAAAAAAAAAAAAAAAATCATCAATCATAAAAATGTGGACCTTAGCAACTCCACTGCTAGAGATTTACATTAAGGAAATTGGATCCCCTTGCCGGCCAGCTGCCAAAAAATATATGTACATTAAGGAAATAATTAAAGACATGTACAAAGATTCAGTTATAAGAATATTGATCATAACATTATTTATAATAATGAAAAGTTAAACAATCTGAAAATGCTAGCAAGAGGGGATTATTAAGTAAACCATAGTATATTTATAAAACACAAATAATGTAGAAATGTATGTATTGTCACAAAGAAGTGTTTACCGTAAATTGTTGAGAGGAAAAGAACATGTTATAAGATAGTATAGTATGCGGGCTTTGACCCAATTTTTGCAAAGCAATGTATATTAGAGTGTCTATATAAACATGGAGAAAAAGGGCTGAAAGAGAACGTTTGCTTTTTATTTTTTATTTGGGCAGAAGGCCTCTTGGTGTTTTTTTGGTGTTTTCTTATCTTTTGTTTTTTGGGGTTTTTTTTTACTGCTGGCTAGTAGGGGGATCCTAACCCTGTGGCCTTGGTGTTATCAGGCTATGCTCTATCCAATTGATGTAACCAGCCAGCCCCAGTTTTTTGTTTTTTGTTGTTTTTAAAATGCATTCATTATAGAAACTTTGGAGCACCATGCTGTTTTTACTTCAAACACCACAGGTCATCTGTGGAAAAATAACATGCTAGTTACACATTCTTTATTTTTTGCTTTTTCGGAAAAATAGAAGATAATTCATCCAACAGTTATTATTAGAGTACGAATTCTGAACCAGACTGTGCTTGGTTCTAGGTATACCAAAAGACACAGTCTGCCGTCAAATGGGGAGGTGGATACTACAGATACCTAATACTACATGCTCATACAAAATGTTCCATGTTCACTTAAGAAACATTTAAAAAAGCACCTGAAATCCCATGTCCCAGAGATAACTACTGTTATAACACATTTTGATGAATACCCTTTCAGACATCTCCCTTTGCATATGTGTGTATAGGTGTATGCATTCATTTTTCCTGTAAAAGGGATAGGATATGCAACTGCTCTGTAATCTGCTCTTTTCACTTAGAATTATGTTGTGGAACTGTTTTATTAATACTAATAAATATAGATATACATACTCATTTTTAGTGACTGCCTATTCAATTGTAAGGATACATCATCTCCTACTTGAAAGTAAACCCAATCAGGGAACATTTAGCTTTCTAATCATCTGCTGTTATATACAGTGCCCCAATGAATATCTTTGCATACATATCTTCATGATTATAAAATAATCTCCTTAAGATAAATTCCTAAAAGTAACTTTTCGGGGCTGGCCCGGTGGCACACTGCTATAGTGCACCGCTTGGGAGTGTGGTGGTGCTCCCGCCGGGGGTTCAGATCCCACATACAGACCGGTTCCCGCTCACTGGCTGAGCGAGGTGTGGGCGCAACACCGAGGGTTGCGATCCCGTTGCCGGTCCCGGTCCGGTACGGGGGCAACACTGAGGGTTGCGATCCGTTGCCGGACACGGAAAAAAAAAAAAAAAGTAACTTTTCAGGGGGAAAATACACATTTTACATGTTATTACTTTTTTTTTTTTAACATCTTACATTTTTTTTTACTGCCTTCCATAAAGGTACCAATTTACGCTTCAGTAGTACAATGCCCGGTTGTCCACATGTTTTCTAACAGTGGGTTTTGTGAATCTTAAATTTTTGCCAGTATAGTGGTTTTTTAAAAAGTCATTTCAGTGAGAATTTTATCATTTTTTTGTTTGTATTTCTTTGATTTTAGTGAGAATGAATTTATTTTTAATGTTTAATGTTGATTTGTGGTGTGCTTTGTAAATTTTCTCTTTAAGTCCTTTGGTTCCCCCTCCCCCAGGAATGTTTTTTTTTTTGTTTGTAAGAGCTTGAAAAATAGTAACCTCTTATCGTAATTAGGCAAACAACTTCTCTAGTCTGTCTTTTAGCTTTGAAAGCTTTTCCTAGTCCCAAAATATATATATATATTTTTTTCCTTTTTTGTCTTTTTTCGTGACCGGCAACGGGATCGCAACCCTCAGTGTTGCTCCCGCACCTCGCTCAGCCAGTGAGTGGCCGGTCTGTATGTGGGATCCGAACCCTCGGCGGGAGCGCCGCCACACTTCCCAAGCGGCGCACTGTAGCAGTGCACCACCGGGCCGGCCCCCCAAAATATTTTTTAATTGTCTGCATTTCTTTCTACTAAGTAATAGAGTGGTTTCTTCTATGATTTCTGATTTTTTTGTAGTTAACTCTTTGATTTACTTGGAATATATTTTAGTAAAAGGGGAGAAGTAGAGATCCAGCTTTACTTTTCTCAAGTAGTTTTAAAATGTTCTGCCGCAATACAGAGTTTTATCTGTGTTATAGATTCAGCTATGTAAAATACGTAGGTGGAGTGAAATGCAAAAAAAAAAAATTGATCTCCATGTGATGGGATTTGCAGTGTTTTTTATTTGTACTTATTTATTTAATTTTTTACTTTTTATTTTTTTAAAAAGGTGACTGGTAAGGGGATCTTAACCCTTGACTTGGTGTTGTCAGCACCATGCTCTCCCAAGTGGGCTAACTGGCCATCTTTATATAGCGATCTGAACCCATGGCCTTGGTGTTATCAGGACCACTCTCTCTCAAGTGAGCCATGGGCCGGCCCATGTTTTTTTTTTTTTAAATACATACTTTATTTTTAAATATATATTTTGTAGTAAGTTTTTTAAAGACATGTATTTTATATAATCAGAAAAGAACTTTAAAAATCAGCTAATATATATTTCTTTTAAATCATATGTGTGTATTCTAGAAAACTCAAAAAGAAATATATAAAATCATTTGTAATTATCCTAGTTAACCAATGTTAATATTTAGGCGTGTATTTTCCCCCACAGGGGAAACAGCTTTTCTCCATGTGTCACAACTGGTCTTCCAAAACTATAGCTAGAATTCAACATTATCTATTGCAACAGTGTGGGGTATCCCATTATACAAATGCATACTTTATGTTGATTATTTAGGTTGTTTTAAAATTTTTAGTATCCTAGACTATGCTATGATGAATCTAAATCTTAATGCATGTTCTTAATTATTTCCTTAAATTCCTAAAAGTAAAATTGCTTTGTCAATAAGCATATCCACCAGAATATTGTGTGCCTAAGAGCAGTAAATGAGGGTGTCATAACTGTTGTTTTTTTTTTAAATGATGTGCATAACATACAACTTTTGAACTGGGAATTACCTTTAGAAGTATTTTTATTCAATTCCTGATTTTACAAAAAAGTATGTCCTAAAAGTCAGGGCATACTAGTTAATGCCATATTAGTATCCCTTAGCTCTTCTACTTTATAACTTCTTTTTCTGTACATAATTTAGAAATTTTAAAGAGGGCTTCATTAGCATTACTAAAATCTTAGTGATATGTTTGTATTTTATCTGTTAGGATGCCAGTGGTGAAAACACTGTGGTTCCTCCAGAGACATATGTGAAAGTGGCTGGCCACCTGAGATCTTTTCAGGTAAAGTCAGAATAAGATGGCAGTTAAAATGTATTTGCAGAATAAAAAATAAAAATTAAAAAAAGCCAAAAAGGGGAAAAAATGTATTTGCATTAAGCAATTTTGGGATTTATGTATGGGTTTAGCATACTTAATACTTAGTTAAGTCTCCATGTTTAATGGGGAGTTGTTATTCTCTTCAAAAGGAAATAACTGGGCCGGCCCGGTGGCGCACTGCTACAGTGCGCCGCTTGGGAGCGCGGCGGCACTCCCGCCAAGGGTTTGGATCCCACATACAGACCGGTTCCCGCTCACTGGCTGAGCGAGGTGTGGGCGCAACACCGAGGGTTGCGATCCCGTTGCCGGTCCCGGTCCGGTACGGGCGCAACACTGAGGGTTGCGATCCGTTGCCAGACACGGAAAAAAATAAAAGGAAATAACTGATTATTACGTTAATGTAAAGCTAACAGAATAGTACAGAAAGAACAGACTCTGCCTACAGTTGCCAGCTGCGGCATCCATTAGGTATAGAAGGGAGAACACTGGATTCGGAATCAGGAGACTAGACTCTGCTTGGTTGTATAACCTTGGGAAAGTCATGAACATCTTTGAGCTAGTTTTGTTCTTTTCCCTCATTATTGACTATATTTGGATTACCTCTGAAAAATTTTATAGTAGACATTTTTCTCATATTGGCAAAATAACCAAGAAAAGAGCCACAGTGTTTTGATCTGAAATTGACTTGAAAAGCTAATCCTTTATTCGCATTTTTCTCTTTAATAGAACAAAAAGAGCCTGGTAGCCTTTAAGATCATGCCACTGGAGGATATGAATGAGTTCACCACACATATTCTGGAAGTGGTCAATGCACACATGATGCTGAACAAATCTAACAGCCAGGTGAGTGGCTTCACTCTCCTAGCTTTTTCTCTTCCCGGGAAGAAGATAGAGTGCTTTTGTGCTCTGGCTTTGATTTCCTCGACATTTTGAAGGTTGACCCAGGAGAAAGGCATCACTCAGTCCTCAGAAAAGGCACCATATTTTCTCCATGAGCTTTGACATTGTATTTTGTTCTAGGCAAAGCACTCACGTTTCTCACAGAATTATGAGCTCCTCTGACCCCACTGGCCTGGGTGGCTGAGACCTAAGATAACATCGAGGTGTATAAATGTAATTATAGGCTGAGCTCTTTGCTCCAGGATTGTCGGTCCATGTTTGGAGAAAAAAACCAAATAAGACAGCACTTTGCTGCCTTCCTTCCAACCTATTGGCTGAGTATAAAAAATTATGTACTATGATTTTTTCCTTGAAATTGTATTTCTTGGTTTGTATTGAAATTTTTCCATATTTTCTGTTGTGTGAATTCACTTTGGCAAGTCCATCAAGGACCATACGAAAGGTTTGTGGGGTTCTTTGTTTTATTTTGTTTTTTATTAATTTGAATGTCAATTCATAAGGAACAAATTTAACACAAAGATTAACATCCTTAATAAAAAGAACTCCTAAAAATGAATTAGAAAAGTCTAAGCAGAAACTTGGTGAAAGACTTGAGCAGATAAGTTACATACCCCATAGAAACACTAGTGTCTAATAAGTACACTCTAAGATGTTTGGTGCGGGGAGTGGGGCTAAGGCCCTCAGCCCCCCATCTCAGGGTCTCGGGGGCTTTTGATTTGGCTGTTGCGGCCAGCGGCTCCCACTGTGTCTTCAGGGCCCCAGGGGTGAATCCACACAAAGGGTACGTTGATTCTAGTCTTAGAAAGTCCTCAGATAATTTGGGTGGCAAGGTGGAGGATTGGTGACAGAAGGAGAGACTAGAGAACTGATAAGCCATTAAGAATGCTACTGCATCTTATTCAGTGCCAAGCACTTTGTTAAGCCCTGGGGATACAGAAATAAACTCATTCATTCCTTTATTTGAAAAATATTTATTGAGCCTACTATGTGCCAATCATTCCAGGTGCTTGGAACACAGCAGTGAGCAAGATGGATAGAGTGTCTGCCTTCAAACTTACATTCTCGGGAGGAACAGGCAATAAACAAGAAAAGAAATAAATAATTTTAGGTAGTTATAGGTACTCTGCAATAAAGCAGAATAGGAGAAAAGAATGGTACAATTTTAGATAGGGGGAAGAACATTCCAAGCAGAGGAAATAGGAAGCACAAAAGCCAGGAGGCTGGAGCAAGCTTGGATCTCTGAGACTAGCAAGAAGGCCAGAGTGGAGTGAAGCAAATGACAAGGAGAGTGATAGAGGACTGTAGGTGAGGAGGAAGGGCCCACATCACGTGGGGCATTGTAGACCATGGTAAGGATCGATTTTATTCTCATTGATTCAAAACCTTTGGAAAGTTTTGAGTAGGGAGTGACATGGGTGATTTACCTTTTAAAAAGCTCACTTAGGCTGCTGTTTTGAGAATAGACTATGAGGCACCAAGAGTGGCAACGGAAGTAATTCAGGGGAATGGTTGGAGTACATGGGATAAGAAGTGGTTGGATTCCAATATACTTTAAAGGTAGAGCTGATAGGAGTTATTGGTGATTAGATACAGGATATGAAGAAAAAGGCAGGTTCAAAAATGACTCCTAGGTTTGGAGCTTGAGCAACTAGATGAAGCTGACAGTTTTGGAGGGTAAAATCCAGAGTTCTGTTTTGGACTGACCAAGTATGAAATGCTAGTTAGATATCCAAGTGGACTACGGAGTGGACAGTGGAATATATAAGGCTAGACTCAAGAGAGAGGTCAAGACTAGAGATAGAATTTTGTGAGTCATTGTTATATAGGTGATTTTATAAACTATTTAAAGCCTTGGATGATGAGATAACTAGGGAGTTAAGAGGTCAGAGACATGAGCTCTGGGACACACTAACCTTTAGAAGTCTGGAAGCAGAATAGCCATGGAACATCAAAGAAGTTGCCAGTTAGGCAGGAGGAAAGCCAGGAAATGTGATTCTGTAGAATATTCTGAAAAGAGTATTTCAAGAAGGAGAGTGGAGATAGATTGCAGAATGCTGCCTGAGGTCAAGTTGGATGATGAAAGAAGTCTGCTGTTGAATTTGGAAAGGTGGATATTCAAAAGCCTTTGGTAGAGGATGAGGGGGAAAAGTGGGTTAAAGAGAATGGGAATAGGTAGAAAGTTTAAAGTGTTTATTACTGTACTTCAACACGTGTATGTATGTGTCAAGTATTATGTGATAAAATGGTTTTAAAGTGAGAATGGGTGGTTAGGGAGTGGAAACCAGGAGTATAGACAATTACATTGAAGAATAAGTAAGGTAATCCTTTCCCTCAAAGAAGATTGCGTTACACAGTGGGAGTTCAGCTCACTTAAGCAGTGAAAGTGTTGATAAGTGGCAGGTGCAGGGTACCAGGCAACCACAAAGAAGGATTTCTTATCCTGGCCTGGACAACAAAAAAGGCACACTGGAGGAGGTGATTCCTACATCAAATCTTAAAAGATGTGTGAACTGGGGCCACCTGAAGCAGGAGGTGAGGTCATTTCAGCAAAGGTATTTGGGTAAGAAACAGCATTCAGCTCAGCATTACTGGATCATAAAATGTAAGATTGCTGTTTCACCAGCAGGCAATGTGAAGGCATCTAGCTTGAGAACAAGGGACCATGATTGATTTGGGTTTTTTTACTACCTTGAAACAGTAGGTATTTAATGAACATTTGCTAAATAAGTGAATCTCCTGACTGGACAGGATTTCTCCTAAGGAGCTTTCACAGTGCTCTTATATCTGCTGTGGGTGCTTAATATATTTGGTCCTCTGTCATTCTTGTTTATTCAGTTCAATAAATTAAACATTGACAGTGAGTATTTTTCACCAGGCACTGTGCAAAGATAAAGGGACTTGTATGGGAAAGTGACACGCAAACGGTGTGGTGAGTGCTGTGATAGGGAATGGGCCAAGTAGTGTGAGAGCCAAGAAGGAAAAAAGTGACTAACTTGGCTTGGGGAATGTCAGGGAAGGCTTTACAAAGGCAGAGGCAATGAAGTTGGACTTTGAAGGATGAGAAGAGTATTCATCATAAAGGTGAGGGGAAGAGCATTACAGACAAGGAACAACATGTTCAGATCAGAGGCATGTTTGTGGATGGCAAGAAGTTGAAGTGCAGCTGGTGAGTAGTGTGTTGAGAAGGAGTGGTCAAGAATAAAATACAAATTTTGACTGCTAGTTGTGGTGGGTCTTGAATGTCTAGGAGTTTCATACTATTATCACAGGCAGAGGGAGCCATTTAAAAGCTTTTAAGCAGAGAGGAGTGACATGATCATAGGGGGTTGTGACTTGTAGCAATGGGGAGGGTTGTTTGGACGAAGAGAGACTAGAAGCTGAAATACCAATCAGGAGACCAGGGGTGATGAGGATCAACTTGAGCTACACTGAAGAAATTAATAGTCTGTGGTGACCGATAGTGGAAGGTGAGTGAATGGAGACTCACAGATGACTGAGGTCTGTAGGATTGGGTTTGGGTTTACTAATTGAGATGGAACAATAGCGTGGCAAGCAGGTTTGGAGAGGAAAGTATATTTTATTTTGAAGTGCCTGAGATATCTAGGTGGAGACAACCAGTAGAGGCTGGCAATGAGGATTTGTGGCCTAGGAGGAGGCCTGGTAGGAAACCCTGGGGGAACTGCCAGCCTTTGGGGAGATAGGTAGAAGAGGCTGATAAGGGATATGAGAAACTGTAGTTTGGGAGGTAAGTGGAGAACAGAAAAAAATGGTGTCAAGAAGCCTAGGAAGGAACACATTTCAAGAAGAATGTGGACAGCAGTGTCTGCTTCTGAGAGGTCAAGTGCTATGAGGACTGAAAGAGACTTTTGGATAGTTGGTTGAAAGTCATTGGTGACTTTGGTGAGAACGGTTTTAGTTGTGTACTTGGGGAGAGTCAAATGGTGGGCTGAGGAGTGACTAAGGAGAAAGGAAATGAGAACAGTGAGTAGACTATTAGTTTAAGAAATGTAGTGGTAAAAAATGAGGAAAGAGAGAGGATGATGAGGACTATGTCTCCTTTCTTCTTCCTGTGGTGATTCATGCCTAGTTGACAATCAATAAATGCTTGCGTGATTGAGCCCCAAGGACACCATTATAGCAGATCTCCGGGTAATTTTCTTCTCAGTGCTACTTTTCCTCTGGTTCTTCTCATGTCACAAACAAGAAGAGGAGCCAGGAGTATCGTTTTGATATTATGTGCTTCAGAAGGTTATTTTACCTTCCAGTGGAATACTCATTAGATTATAGCTGTCCTTCCCAATGTAAGCAGTTGTTGGAAAAACACTTCGCTTAAATTGTTTCCTATAAGCTGCTTATTAACAAACGATTTGAAATAAAAAAGACTACGTTTAACTTGGTGAACTTTCTAATGTTGTGAACTTATTTCTTAATTCAGCCCTCAGCAGGGAGAGTACCTATCAGCAATCCAGGAATGGGTGAAGCAGGGAACTTTGGTGGGAATAGCTTCATGTCAGCAAATGGCCTCACTGTGGCCCAAAACCAGGTAAATTCTGCCTAAGTGGCTCCAGAAATCTGAAACAGGCAATTCTAAATTGTATTACCTCCTCAATTATTTAAGGCTAAGCACTTGGCTCATTTCTTTCTTATAAAGGGACTCAGGTTTGCAAAGGGGAGCTGATTCAAAGTAGTTGCTAAAATCTTTCTGATTTGAATCTTCAGGTACTGAATTTGATTAAGGTTTGTCCAAGACCTGAAGGATTGAACTTTCAGGATCTCAAGAACCAGCTCCAACATATGACGGTAGCCTCAATCAAGTGAGTATTTGGTTTCCATAAGCTAGGGCTCCTGAATTGTACCGTTTCACCTCTCCAGGGTTTCCTGGTAATGAGAAGTGAGTTAAAAAAGTAAAGCTGCTAACTGCAACCTTATTAATAGAGGGGAATTTGTTCAGCTGTAGAAAAAATAGAAAAAGGACTCACAAAGATGGTACTATCATAATGTGTGGGGGATATAATTCTGAGCAAAAATTGACCTGATACCTCATGCCTCGTGGGATTTAGTCTGGAGGAGAGAGGTCCTTAGCTCCTGGTCCTCCAGTGTAGTCCTAGAGGGCCGGCCCGGTGGCTCACTCGGGAGAGTGCGGTGCTGATAACACCAGGGCCCCGGGTTCGGATCCCATATAGGGATGGCCGGTTCGCTCACTGGCTGAGCGTGGTGCTGACAGTATAGTCCTAGGAAAAAAAAAATGACCCCTTTGTTTTCTTTCTGTTTGTTTTGTTTGTTTCGTTTGGTTGGTTTTTGTTTTTTGTTTTTGCTTTCTTTCTAGGCAAGCTGTGGATTTCCTTAGCAACGAGGGACACATCTATTCTACTGTGGATGATGATCATTTTAAATCCACAGATGCAGAATAACTGGATCTAATTGGGTATCTGAGATATTTTCTAGCTGGCCCTATTTTCACAATTTGTTTTCTCCAGTTGTACATATGTTTGGCCAGGTGACTTCTAGGAAGTAGGTTTCATCTCAGAAAGGTCTGAACTGACATTGTTTTGAAACTTACTGCTCTTCTATTTTGTTTTTGTTTTTGTAGCTCAAAGGGAGATGGGCAATTTACAGGGATGTAAACCAGGATGGGATTTCTTGAAGAAGTTACAAATAAGTTAGTTAAAACATCAGGTTAGATGGAATTGGAAGAGGGCTGCTACCAAGAGAGTTGGGCAGTATTAAATAATGCTCAGGAGTTTCAGTTCCTACAGTGTTTCCTCTTGAGAGATGGTGAGCAGGACTAGGGCCTGTGGGCAGAGCACAGCTGAGAAACCAGCTCTCCTCTGCCTTTTTTTGTAGCCCACTTTGGTTATGTGGCGTTACTTTCAGAATTGCACTTTCCTTCACCTTCTTGTCATGATTGTTGCCAAAAGCATGTTTGTATGAAAATGAGGTTCTGGAGTGATGGCCTCAAGGGGCAAAGTAGAAGAAATGTTACTGCATTTTGTACAAAATATGTGCATCCATATGTTTAATAAAACAGTTCTGTTATTGCAGTACCTTGTGAAACTATTCTCATTTTTCTTTCTAAGCTGATGTGTTTACCATGTCACCTGAGGCAGCATAATGTGAAACTTAGATTTGAATCCTGGCTCTCCTACTTTTAGTTAGGATTTTGAGAATGCTACATCAGCTCTGAGCGCCTCCATTTCCTCATTTATGAAGAGAAAACAATATTATTTCCTTATAGGTTTGTTCTGAAGATTGAATAAAGTCTATAAAGCATTTAGCATTGCAATTAATAGGATTATAACATGGACCTTAATGTCGAATCTTTAGCAGTGTGTGGTCATGTAACCAAATCGAATATCTACCATTTGACCTCAAGATGAGACTTTCCAAAGGCATACGGCTGTTTCTTGATCGACTTGATCGCTGTTTTTCTTATGGGAGAGGAAACTAGTTCAAAGATGTTTTTGACAACTCCAGAAGTAAGCTACATCTTGAGTGACACAACCAGTTTTGAGATAAAATTAATGTCATGTAACATGAAAATAAGAATTCTATATCTGCTTTAACTGTGTTTCTAAATGAGATCTAGCAGCTGTGTGAAGGCTCCATCCCCCTAGTTTCTAACAGAGAACAACATCTGGCTGTTAATTTTCTGTATGTATAGAGTAGTTCTCATCTGGGGAGCTGTCATACAAATGCTTGCAACTCAGTCAACCAGTGTGTTTATTTGCAAGTATCTCCATTCTTCATCAAGAACAGTAGCTAAAAACAGGTTTAAAAAAATCATTTATATTTGAATTTGTAATGTATGATAGGATATTTTCATGGGTGGTGGGCTTCTCTTTCTAGATATTGGGCTAGTGCCCTTAAGTGGGCAAAGCAATAGCAGTGGTTCTGGGTGGAGGGGTTTTTTTTTCTTGTGATAGAATCAGATGATGACATAACAATTAAAAACGACTTACTCATTAAATGTGCATATTGGATGCCTACTATGTCAACCTGCATGTTTCTCTTGGTCCTGGGGGTCTCAGGAGGCAGGACTACACGTAGCCTCTGCCAGGAGTCCCCCAGGGAGCAGGGCCACATGTAGCCCTGCCAAGAGAGTGCAGCAATGTGAGTTGCTCAGGGCACGCCTTGAGCTAGGGGCTGCCGCCTCAGGAGGTGGGCAACCAGAAACCAGACACAAAGTTCTGGGACTTACCACACACAAAGCAACTTTATTGTCTACAGGCATGTATTATATATGTTTTAGCCAGCTGTGAGCCCCTCCCATACCTCCCCATCTCCTAGGCAACTCAATAGGAAGTCTGTGGTTTGCGGTTAAGCCTTGCCAATTCTTGCTGACCCACTCTTTCTGCATTTCTGCTGACACAGTCTAAGTCCTGGAGAGCAAGAGTGCCTCCTTCTTTAATATGTGTTCATTTTCCTCCATCAACCCATTGGTTGGGTACTACAAATATAAAGCACAATAAGAGATTGGCATCATAGGACTTGCTGGTTCAGAATTCTCAGTAGCACGGAGTAGCTGTTCAGTAATACTGAATTCCCTGCCCCCTTGGTATTTCCACAGTTGTGTCATTTCCAAGCACTGCAGGGGCCTAGGGGGCCGAGCACATGCAGGAGAGCCACCCAGGCCACTCCTCAGCAGAATGAAACTCCAGCCTTTATACAGCTTCTGCTTTGCTCAGGTGTGAAGAACTTGCATCTTAGGCATTTATGGTCACCAGCTATGTCAGATGTACAGCGTTCTTGTGCCACATTTTGAGACAGCAGGAAGAGCAGTACAACCCAAGTTCTTAGAAACCACCTGGTGTCACAGCCTAGCAATGGGTTCAGCCCACCCTCAGGAGAATCTTTTATTTTATTTATTTATTTATTTATTTTTTTGAGGCTGGCCAGTACTGGGATCACCCATGACCTTGGTGTTATAAGGCTGCACTCTAACCAACTGAGCCAACCAGCCAGCCTTGGAGAATCTTTCTCTAGGTACAGGTGGGAAATGAGACAGAAATAGTACTTTATTGGGTTTAACTAGGAAAAGGCCAGTAAGAATTAGTGGCTGATATGGATTAATAAATTTGTTTTTGAAAATATAATTGAGAGAATTTCAAAATAGAAAATTTGTGATTCGGATCCCCATACTGGCCAGCCAGGGGAAAAAAAAGTTTTTGAGCATGTACCCCCAGTTTATATTCATTTATTTAGAATTATTTACATATATTACTCTGTTATTATGTTACATACATGATAAAACATTAAAAATAGGAATGAAAAGGATTAAATATAAATATGAAGGGATGTAATTATTTTCAGTTTCCCAGTGGATCATCTTTACTCTCAGTGGTTGCTCTCTTGGGAGACCACTGCTTAGGGGGAATCCTTAGCCCTATTACAACACCCTCCCCACTGTCCAGTGGCTCATTCTAGGGGCAAAGAAAACAAAAGCATCTGAGGGTTTATCTACCTCTGATTCATTCCCTGCCAAACCCCATTGCTCCGATAAGAAAACATTCACAGCTGTGGTTTTCAGACAGGTTTTCCTCTTAAGCCCTGCTTTTGCTGCTGTGAAATTGCTTTTTCTTCACTGCATCATTTGACTGTTTAGCCCATTTTGTGGGAACTGGTGGCCCTCTCTTCTGCTCCCCTTTATAGCCTTGTTACTCATCTTGCTCAATTTTGTGCCAAGTTGAAGTGCAAATGTGGAAGTGAAAACTTGGCATTTTGTCTGTAGACCTGGCCCCTTGGGGTTCTGTGCCAAGGAGGAACTTTCTCTTGCTTACTGCTTCTTTCCACAGTAGTCTTCCTCAGAGTCCTCTTGTGCAGTGTAAATTGACCTCTGGAGGAGGGCATGGGATCTGGTGCACAGATGAGGATGGGGTGCCACTCAGCAGTCACCTAGAGATCTCCATGCTGGAGTATGGAGGCCTAGAGGCTTGAGAAGTGCAGTGGGTCCAGGCAGCCCAGAAAGATGTAAACAGGCAAAGGAGGACGCTCCCAGGTGCAAGGACCTAGAATCCAGCAGCTGGAAATCTCACCCTCTTTCAGCTTCCACCTCAGCTGGAGACTTAGATCATCTTTTTGTCTGTCTCCTATCCTCTCTGGTGACCAAGATGCTTAGTTTCGTGACTGCATCAGCCCACAAACCGAAGTCCCACTATTTCCAGGAAATGCAGCCCATGGTCTTGCCTCACTGATCGTGCCTAGACTGACCCCGGAAGCTGAGTTAGTCTCTACCTGGACAAAGGCTTGTATCTGTTCTCTTATCTCTACTACACTGGACAGTGAGGCTTTCCAGCCAGTCAGTATATTCTGTCTCCACAGTCTACGAACACGGTATATTTTAAACAATGGGATGAATTCCACGACTAGGAGACAGTGTGGAGGTGTAGAAAGAGTATAGGCTTTGGAGACAGACACAACTATGTGATCATTGAGTATTTAATATGTGCCAGACACTGTGCTAAATGCTTTACAAGGATTAGCTCATTTGATCCTTAAAACAGACGTGAGGTAAATAAACATTAGTTTCATTTTACATGTCAAGAAACTGAGGCTTAGTTTAAAATAACCTGCTCAGGGGTCGGCCCGGTGGCGCACTGGATAGTGCGCCGCTTGGGAAGCGCGGCGGCGCTCCCGTCTGAGGGTTCGGATCCCACATACAGACCGGCTCCCGCTCACTGGCTGAGCGAGGCGCGGGAGCAACACCGAGGCTTGCGATCCCGTTGCCGGTCCCGGTCCGGTACGGGGGCAACACTGAGGGTTGCGATCCGGTGCCGGACATGGAAAAAAGACAAAAAAAAAAAATAAAATAAAATAAAATAAAATAAAATAAAATAAAATAACCTGCTCAGAATCACAGCTGCTAGGTGGTGAGCTGGGATCCTAACCCAGGCTCATACTTTCCGAGGCCTCACCCTTAACCGCTGCATAAGTCTGCCTCCTGAGGCACTTGATCACTCAGTCTGTTTCCTAATTTGTAAAACCAGGCCATTGTCTACCTCAGAGAGTTGAGGCTTTGGATATAGTTTGTAAACGGTCTGGCACAAGGCAAAACTTAATATGTTATTGTTTGTACAAAAACTCAGATGTCAGTTTTATTCTATGGTTTTAGAATGAAATAATCTTGGATAGTCACAACTTTGACAGTATTTTAGCACTACCTGGTTGTATTCGTCCGTTTTGTGTTGCTATAACAAATACCTGAGACTGGGTAATTTATAAAGAACAGAGGTTTATTTGGCTTACGATTCCAGGACAGCTGCATCTGGCACAAGCCTCAGGCTGCTTCTACTCACAGTGGAAAGTGGCAGGCAGCTGGTGGGTATGAGTAGATCACATGGTTAGAGGAAGCAAGGGAGAGAGGAGGTGCCAGGATCTTTTAAACAACAAGCTCTTGTGGGAACTAATCGAGCGAGAACTCACTCATTAATCCTCCCTCCCACAGGGAGAGCATTAATCCATTCATGAGGGATCTGCCCCCATGACTCAGTTTCCAACACTGCCACAATGGGGATCAAATTTCCACATGAGTTTTGGAGGAGACAACACAACCAAACTCCAGAACAGATCAAACCTGCCAGTTTTTCTTCCACAGCCTCAGTTCTCTATAAGGTTCTTTTAAAATTGGCTCCCATAGTTTTACCACAAGTTTTTGCAGTTTGTATTAGTCTCCTTCTGTTGCTTATGACAAAATACTTGGAACTGAGTAATTTATGAACAAAATGAAATTTATTGCTTACAGTTTCAGAGGCTGGGAAGTCCAAAGTCCAGAAAACACATTTGGTGAAGGCCTTGGTGGTGGAAACAGTGACCCAGGGGTCTCACATGGCAGAAAATGTAGGAGCAGAAGAGAGAGAGCGCATGTGCTCTCCTTTTAAAGCCCTCAGAAACATTCCCACGACCACCAATCAACCATCAACTTAATCACCTCTTCAAGACCCCTCCTTTCAATTAATATAATAGGATTTCCCACCCTCAACCGTAACAGTGGGGATTAAGTTTTGGGGGGACATTCAACCTAAAGCAGGGGCAAAGGCCCTAAGATTCTGCTCATGAAGTGATGATCCCACATTCATTCATACAACCCCCATTTACCATATGCTATCTATTATGTCTGGTTGCTACAGAGATGAAGATGACACAGTCCTGGTCTCTCAGGGGCTTAGGTCAATGGGGGTTAGCAAATATTAAAAAGGGCTCTCAGTGCAATGTGAGCATGACAGTCCCCTTTACCAAGGGGCAGTCAGCCCTATGCTGTCATTACTAAGGTTGGTGGCCTCTTTGATTCCTCTGCACCGAACAGTAGAATAACTGGAAGGGATGCAGGATTGAGTAGAACCCAGCTGGCTCCTCTGGATACCAAAGCTCTGAGGCTGAAGGAGACATGTGTGAGGTACTAAGCCCAAACAAGCCAACCCTCAGTGGCAGGAACCAAGAACCCAAAGGAAGCTGCTGCAGGGACATTCCATTTCAAATCAGTCCCCACAAAGCCATTCCCTGTCTGCAGTTTGATTTCTGCAAGACCTTGTCCAAGGTCTCTTAGAGGTTGGTTCGTGTCACAGGTTCCCTGAGAAGCAGCAGTTAGGAAGTGTGGTTCCTCCAGCACTTAGATGGTTTTCCGAAAGTTTTCAGGTATTTCTTCATAATCATGTTCATCCTCATCTGCAAAAAGTCTGAATCAATGAGAATCTTTGGTGGTAGGCAACTTCCCCTCTTTAAGACACAGTGTCCTCACCTATACAGGGAAGGGGTTGTCCTGAACATTCTAAGGTCCTTCCTAGACCAGAAACTACAACTTGCTCTGTCTGAATGGTTTGCAACCATTTCACTGTCCTGTGTGCTGTGAGGAAGGTTGCATGTTGGGGATTGAATTCATTTTTTTTGCCAGCGTTCTGGTGCCCATGGGAGAGAGAAGGGGGGGACCTTTCCACCTGAGCCAACCCCACATAGGCCTGTCCATCAAACTGGGACCACAGAAGGATCTGCAGTGGACAGGGCCATCAGAGGTGAAGGAAGCAGCAGAGGAGTGGAGGTGCAGAAGGGAGACAGAAGGACAAGAGTGAACAGGGAGGGGCTGACAGGGACTCACCTGGATAACATGTTTTGGGCTTAGTGGGCCTGAGGCCCTTGTGGGCAGGAATCTTGCTGTATACACTTAAGTTGTCCTTGATGACATTTGGCAAGGTCTCCACCTTGGATTTGGGCAGCTGAGGGAGATGCGGCAGTTCTAAGACTTGAGAAGACTTTGAGTGGGAGAAAAAGAACAGAAATCAGCAAGATCCCAAGAAATGCACAGCAGAGTCCATGAAAGGTAATTTAGTTAAAATGTCACTTCCTCTGCTTCCCTCTCTACTTTTCAGGGTAGGGCTTCTCAGAAACCCAGGTGTTCTTGATAAAAGCACATGAAATACCCTTTGGCAAGGGAGAAAAGGGTCAGGATGGGAGATGAGGATATGGTTGGGGCCTGGAGACAAGGTTTCCCTGGGATTCTCCATGCAGGAGTACACTCAATGTCCATTAAATCTACTGCTGAAGGAAAGTCAAGGGATTGGATCCCAGTACCCACCAGCTACCAAAAGAAAATCTATTACTGAAGGGAAAATAAGCAAACTGGAGACAACTCAAGAAAGCAACCACAAAGCCTCATAACAGACTGCCAGAGCTGAGAGGGGCCCCAGAAGGACTTTTATTAAACTCTTACCACATACCAGGTGCTATATACATGTCTGCTCATTTAATCTTTGAGTGACTCTGAGTAGTTTCAATTCCCAATTTATGTATGGAGAGAGAGTGTGCCTCATCAAACCGCACACAGGAAATCTATAGCCAGGCCAAGGTTTGGACCCAGAACCATGTCTGTGGCCTCTAAGCTCTAAGTCTTTCCACCACACCATGCTTCAGAAGGCAAACGGTACAACTCCTCTGAAGAGCAGTGGAGAATACTGATGCCCGGAGAGGAAAAGTTACTGGTTCAAGGGCAACAGCAGTGACTGGGCCTAAAGTCGCTCTATCAGAGCCAGCACTCAGGCTGAGGTCTCTCAATTCTTTGTGCTGTGTTCTCTCCTGCATTGTCAAACCTGTATTTCAGATGTCCCAGTCTAGCCTCTGTCAGAAAATGACTGCCCTAGCTCACAGATATGAGCCCCTTCCAAACCCGAGACTGCTCAGGATTCATCGTTTGTTTTTTTTTTAACTTCCACTGCCATCCCATAACCTACTCATAGGGTACGAATATGAGTTTCTCAAGATTCCAAAACAATGTGCTTGTTACAGTTTACAAAGTACTTTTTTTTTTTTTTTTTGTCTTTTGTCTTTTGTCTTTTTCCATGTCCGGCAACGGATTGCAACCCTCAGTGTTGCCCCGTACCGGACCGGGGACCGGCAACGGGATTGCAACCCTCGGTGTTGCTCCCGCGCCTCGCTCAGCCAGTGAGCGGGAACCGGTCTGTACGTGGGATCCGAACCCTCGGGTGGGAGCGCCGCCGCGCTTCCCAAGCGGTGCACTATCCAGTGCGCCACCGGGCCGGCCCCACAAAGTACTTTTAATATAGCTCATCCCCTCCCGTTCTCAGCAGAGCACAGTTGTTAGGTGCTCAGGCTGCCCAGTCAGACCCGATTTTAAACCCCAGCCCCGCCACTTGCTAGCTGTGTGACCTCAGGTAAACCACTTTACCTCTCTGCGGCTCTTGTTTTCTCAACTGTAAAAAGATAATATCGGTGCCTACCTCAGGCGGGTGTTGAGAGAGCTAGGTGGGACAATGCTTACAATGCCACAGAGCAAGCACCCAGTAGGAAGCAGCTAACAAAACAGCACTTTCGGTGATATTATGTCAGGTTTACCGGTGAGAAAACGGATGCTCAGAGAAGGCGTGGCCTGTACCGGCTATAGAGTAAGTAAACTGAAACGTACGCTTAGTCTTTCTGGCTCCGTGCCTGGCTCTTTCCCCTCCACCTGCGATTCCATTTGGCTCAGTTCCACAGGTGCTCACCAGCCTTGGGGTGGGTGAGGCCTCTGCGCCCCAGAACTCTCTTTCTAGCCAGAGAAAGAGACTCAAGTATGACTGACTAAAAATTACGTGTCCTGAGCTACATACAATGTGCAGTGGGAGTACAGAAGAGGGAGCCGGACTGTCACTGCCAGGGGGGAAATGTGAGCCGAGCCAAGCCCGTGAGCCTAAAGGAGGAACACTGCTTGCAGAAGGCCCAGCATGTTAGGTGCTGAGCGGGAGTCCTGGCACACAGAGAGCTTTGGGGGCTTCTCTATGACTGTAGCATGGACTGCAGAGTGGGTGGTGGAAGGTGGGCCTGAGAAGGCGAGACTGGAATCAACTATAAAGGACCCCTGTGCCATGTTAAGGGATTCGCATTATGCTCCTGGCAGTGGGAAGCTATTGAAGGTTTTAGAAGATGGAGCCAAGGCCCATTGGTGACCTGGGAAGGATTTGGGAGGCCATTCTGACAGCTGTGAGGGAGGGATTGAAGAGGCTGCTGAAACAGTTTAGGTGAAAAGTGATGTCACTAGGGAGTGACAAGCAGGGGTAGCCGAGACAGGAAAAGCACAACGAACTTGGAATCAGAATGTTTCTGCTCACTTTTAGGCCTCCCACTTACTGACTTGGACCTTGGGCAAGTCTCAGGGTCTCTGAGTCATTTTCTCAATCATAAGATATGGATGATCACACCAACCTCAGGATCGTGAGGACTGAATAATAGGTGCAAAGTGTGTGGGCTGATGAACTGCAAGGTGTACACAGTTGTAAGGTGTACACATGACAGACAGTGCAGCTGTGGTAGGACCTGCAATGATCCCTGCAGGTGACCCCTCCCTGCCGCTTTGGTTATACTGGTACCTGGACACCTCCCTCCTTGCTCTGTCTCTTCTGCTCACTGAGGCCCTGACTTTTTGGGGGCCTTGGTGGGGGAGCTTGGATCTCACAGGCTGGTAACTTCCGAAGGCGATAGTAGAAGGCATCTGTCAGCTCCTCCACTGTAGCTACAGGGGGAGACCCGGCTGGGCAGCCTGGCTGCCCCTCGGCCTCCACAACAGTCAGGTCTAGCCACTGGGGAGGGATCTCAAAGCACATCCCAGGCTCAGAGTCCAGGCTAACCACCAAGAAGGGGTCTGTGATCTTCTCCTCCAGCCGCAGGCCCGGGAAGGAGGCCAGAGGGTCAGCGGGGTGGCTGGTGTCCTTGGCCACCACCTTGACCTCACAGGGCAGAGAGAACTGGGCAGTGAGATCCGCCAGGCTGTAGCGCCGGCCATCGTTCATCTCCTCCACAAAGCCGCCGGGGAAATAGAGGGGCAGCAGAATTTGTTCTTGGTCCTCTGCCTCCTCTTCACACTCGTCCTCCTCAGCCTGTTCCCTCGTCCGCTGACATATCAAAACATCTAGGTCCTTGCCTTGGGCCCCATAGGCCTGGCCAAACCCCAACGCCTCCAGCCGGTCGCCCACAGCCAGGGAGGCAAACTCAGGGTGCTCCTCCACCTCACCCTCACAGTCCTTTGTGACCACCACCCGGAGCGGCTGGCCTGGTTGGAGAGCACCCAGGAGGTCATAGGCCGTGGGGAACTCCCTCGGCCGCCGCCGCAGCTTGCCCTGGTAGGCCCTGGAGACCAGGAAGTGTCTGGGCATCTTCCGGCCTTTGCTCGAGGCCAGGACCCGCCAGGGTGCTGAGGCCAGGCCATGGATGCACAGCCTCTGGCCTTTCCGTAAGGAGCCCACCCACGGGCTGAGGAAGATGGGGGGCCCCTCCGGAACTTCCAGGATCTCCACGGGCAGGGGGAAGGGGCCTTCCTGGGCCAGGACATCACTCAGCAGTAGTGGTTTGATGAAGGAGACGTGCTGGGAGGAGGCGGTGACGTCCTCTACATCGACCTCCAGGGTGGAGGGGATCTTGACAATGGTCCTGCGCACTGTGGAGGAGGGAGGTCACCTCAGGGGCGCACCCCAGTGGTGGACCCCCCACCCTAGGCAAAGAGCATTGGTCTAGGCTTGCTGACCTCTTTCCTGTTTTCCTTCCTACCAGCATTTTCCTATTGTAATCAGATTCCTCACCCACACTTTTCCTTCAAGCTTTTTAAAAAAATCATTATTTTCAAACATTTATAAAATAGAATAGTTTTGTGCATTCCCATGTACCCAAACCCAGCTTCAGCATTTAACTGGTGGCCCATCTGCTCTCAACTGTACCCCTATCTACTCCCCATCCACTGGATTATTCTTAATTAGAATAATCCCATCATGCCATGTATGTCTATTTCAGTGTGTACCTCTAAAATAGAGGATAACTGAAAAATTTTAAAATAGAATAACCACAATGCCATTAATGCATCTAATTATTGGAAGTCCTTAATGTCAGTTCAACCACTTTTTAAATTGAAATTTAATTTTGCATGTAATTGTATCAGCTGCCTTTCCAAATCCTTTCTGTACCTAAATAGATAAAACCAAATCAAGAAAAATCCTGACTAAATGACCTCGGACAACTTATTTCTTCTCTGGGCATTGATTAGTATTCTGATATATAAACTCAAGACATGGCTCTGTAAGACTGTGAGTAAAACTAACCCATCCACTGTGTGTTTGATCCCCACCACTTGGAAGGCATGGCAGAGAAGGCTCCCTATTTTACAGATGAGAACACTGAGGCTTAGAGGTGGTGACTTCCCCTAGGTCACATTTTCAGGAACTTTGCTCTGTGCCAGATGAGCTGATAATTGGTGGAAGCTGAGAGATGGGCATGTGGGGCTTCATTCTACTGCTCTGGTTTTTCCTTCAAAATAATTTATGGATAACCTGAGCTGCCTCTTTATCGAGGGCAGCCTCCCAAGCCCCTCCCACCATTAAAACCTCTGGCTCCCCAGACTACAATCTCTTACTACCATTTTCCCCTAAAAGGGTCCAGAGCTTCCTGGTAAAGAGTAACTTCAGTTCCTGGGGAGGAAATGTTCAAGATGAGCCTCGAACATTTTATACCAGAAAGCAAGTACATCTATCCAAACCACCTAGGTATGTCAAAAGGATTCAGGAACCAACTTGAACAGTTTCCCACTGGCCAAAGCTGAGATAATTTGAGCATCAATGAGAATAATAATTTCAGGGGACTGAAACACACTGAAAACATTTCATATGTGAGTTCATAATGATAAACGAACAAAAAAACCCCACAAAATACCCCTCATTTGTCACCCCTGAAGGATGCTAGGGAGCCAACTCATTATTTTAAAAACTGGTAAACAAAATATAGGTTATTTCTCAGGATGTTCCTTAGTGCAGGCTGGAGGCAGCACGAAGAGCAGGGTTGGGGAAACAGGCAGAACCTGGCCAGGTCTGGCTGGTCAGAGGCCCAGCCTGAGTAGAGATAGAAGCATGAGTAACCTCTAGACGTACAGACAAAATATCCTGTATTATCTGTAACCAACGTGTACATGAGGGGAAGTTTCTCTTAACGTAGTGTCCCAGCTAACAAAGGAAGTATGAATGATTGGATTAAAATATCACTATTGCAATTCCTAATGGAGTGATGGATCTAGACAGTCATCATCAATAGCTGCTCCCACCACAGGAACTGGCCCATCCGTTGTGTGACTGGATGTACACCACATGGCAAGGCTGGCGTTGCTAGTTAGTCAGGACTGGTGGCAGACTCCAGAGCCAAGAGGAATTCTCTTCCCCACACCTCATACAGCAGCGAGAAATTGTATGCCTCTTGCATCTGATCAAGCCTCTAGATCTAAGTGCCAGTTTACAGATGTGCAGAAAAGAGTTAACACAGCAGGCCTGAGACTGCTCTCCCTGGGAAGGCCTGCAGGCCAGGTTGGCCCTGGGTTGGCATCTGGGAGCTCAAATTTCGGGAGGGTCCCGACCATTCCCTGAAAACAGGCTTGAACTGCCGGGGAGCTGTGCCTAAACTCTTCGTATGAACAATATAGTTTATGCTTAAACTTCTGCTTTCCTTCCAAGAGTCTGGAATTTTGGTCCATGCCTACATGACCAGGCCCCAATAAAACCCTAGGTACTGAGTCTCTGAAAAGCTTCCCTGTTAGATGGCATTTCACACACATTGTCACTTGTTGCTGAAGAAATTAAGTGTGTCCTGTGTGACTCTACTGGGAAAGGACTCTTGCAAGCTTGTGCCTGAATTTCTCCGGCCTTCTGCCCATGCACTTTTTCCCTTTGTAGACTTTGCTCGGTATCCTTTTGCTATATTAAATTATAGTCGTGAATACAACTATATGCTGAGTCCTGTGAGTCCTCCTAGTAAGTCATGGAACCTAGAGGTGGTCTTCATCCCCCAACACAACAGTAAATACAGAGGGCAGGGGACCGTGTTGCACACCACTGCAAGGATGCAGTCAGCAAAACCTGAAATGTCAGAAACCCTAGTCTCTTCAACACCTAAATTACAAGGAAAATAGAGAAGGAAGAGGAACCTACAGATTAAAAGAGACTTAAGAGACATAACAAAACAATCAATGGCAGGGTTGTGGACCTTATGTGGATCCTGATTTGAATAAACTGTAAAAAAACTTTATGAGACAATAGAGGAAATTCAAACACCAAGTGGAAACTACCACTGCTGAATTAAAGAGTTATTATTAATTTTTTTGGTATTTGGATCATGGTATTGTGGATCTATTTAAAAAGTCACTTTAAAAAGAGAGACAGTTGACTGGTTAGCTCAGTTGGTTAGAGTGCAGTCTTTTTTTTTTTTTTTTTGTCTTTTTGTCTTTTTCCGTGTCTGGCAACGGATCGCAACCCTCAGTGTTGCCCCCGCACCAGACCGGGGACCGGCAACGGGACCGCAACCCTCGGTGCTGCTCCCGCGCCTCGCTCAGCCAGTGAGCGGGAACCGGTCTGTATGTGGGATCCGAACCCTCGGGCGGGAGCGCTGCCGCGCTTCCCAAGCGGCGCACTTATCCAGTGCGCCACCGGGCCGGCTTGGAGTGCAGTCTTATAACACCAAGGTCACTGGTTCAGATCCCTGTACTTTACCAAAAAAATTATGTGACATCTGGGGCTTGCTTTGAAATAGGGTAGGGTGGGGAGAGTGGGGATAGGTAGAGAAGAAACAAGATGGGTCATGAGTTGGTCATTGTGATGCTGGGTCATGGTGGCTTGTCACACTATTCCCTGATTTTATGTACATTTGAATTTTCCCAAAATAAAAACGTTTTAAAATATATTTTTAAAAAGGGCAAAGAAGGGCCAGCCTGTGGCTCACTCGGGAGAGTGTGGTGCTGATAACACCAAGTTCCAAGGTTTGATCCCTGTAACGGCCAGCAGCCAAAACAAACAAATAAAAAAACAAAAAACAAAAACAAAAACAAGAAATAGCTTAGACAGTGTTCTTTGTGACTCAGATAGAGAACCTTTAGGAATGATCCTGTTCTCCCTAGAGTCAGGAAAAGTATACTTCTCCCAAGCAACTGGCTAGGTTTTTACTTTGTAATATCATGTCTCTTTGTGCTAGCAAGTTCAGAACCCAACTTTTATCCAATTCTAGAAAGCACATGGGACCTTGCTCTTTTAAAAAATTTTTTTGGTGGCTGACTGGTACAGAGATTGAAGCCTGGACCTTGGTGTTATTTTCAGCACCATGCTCTAACCGGCTGAGCTAACTGGCCAGCCCCTCACTCATGTTTATCCCATTTTCCTATCTCCTTTTACACCAAATTCCTTTTTTTTTTATTCTATTGGACATTTTATTATTTTTACTTAGAGTGTACATATTTATGGGTACACCAAATTTCCCACTTATTTGGCCATCTTTATTCTGCAACATTGTATATACTGTATAAGCCATCTGGAATTCCTGGGCTATCCACAGGGATGGGGTTGGGGGGAGGGAATGTCTTCCATCAGAGCAGCTCCCCTGGGTCCCCCTCTTTCCCTCCCACCCACCTGCCCAGGCAACTCACTGTGCATGATGGCTTGGATCTCATACTGGGGCCTCAGGATCAGCGAGCACCAGGGTAGGGTGGGGCAGGTGAAGGCAAGGCCCCTCAAGGCTGGGTCCTGCAGGGTCTGGAGCAGTGTTAGAGGGGTACTGGGCTCACATTTCCGGAAGGGCCCTTTCTGGGACAGGGGCAGGTACAGGATGACCTGCTGGTCCCCCATGTCCAGGATGCAGCGGGCACAGCGGATCCCGAGGTGCATTTCCACAGCCTCAAGAATGAGGGGCTGGTCCTCAGGTACCACCTTGGCCTCTGTAGTGATGCTGTGGGTCGACGAGAAGCAAATGGGTAGCTTCTTGGAGCTGTGAGCTGCAGCAGAGACCAGCTCCTCCAGGGTTCTATAGCTCTGGGGGCTGGTGAGGCGGCAGAAGTAGCCTGTGGGGTACAGCAAGGGCAGGAGAGTCACTGTGCGGCATCAGGGTGAGGCAGGCCTTTGCTGGGTCCAGGCCCTGGTCTGGCCCTACATATAATCCAGCCAGCATCCCCCGAGGACAGGTGTCCTGGGGGGTCCTTCATCTGGACATCTTGGCTGCAGGGCTGAGGATATGACAGTGCATGAATGGACAATGAGAGGCAGAGGTGGGACACAGAGGGACTGTCACCAGAGACACAGAGGACAGAACAGGGACACAATCGCCAACACACACACAAACAACTCGCACATGTTCCTGCCTTTTGACCCCTATCTGCCTCTGATTTTGCCGACTTACTATTTCCTCCAGATGCCTCACCACAGCTCCAATCCCACACATCCAAAACCTATTGTAGGCCGGCCAGTTAGCTCAGCTGCTTAGAGCTCAGTGTTGTAACACCAAGGTCAGGAGTTCGGATCCCCATACCAGCCAGCCACCACAAAAACCCCAAAAATCAAAACCTATTGCCCCCATCCCAGGGCAACCCCATTGTTCCTCTCTCCTAAACAAGAGCCCCAGGAGCTACTGGGCAATTTGACCTCTGGCCACACCGCAAACCCTACATCCTGTCTGCCAATACTGGCTGCCTGACTGCTCTCCCCCCAACTACCCACCCCAGCCCCATCCATTCTCTTCCTGCCACTAGACTGGTCTAAATACCCCACTTCCAGACATAACATCGCTCTGAGAGCAGGGTTTTCCTGCCCAAAACCTACAGCCTGAATCTAATCAAGAAAACATTGCACAAACCCAGACTGAGGGACATTCTACAAAAGTACTGGTCTGGACTCTTCAAAAATGTCAATGTTGAGACAAAGAAAGGCTGAGGAACTGTTTCATCCTGAAGGAGACTAAAGAAATAGGACAATTGAATATAATGTGTGAACTAGGATTGAGGGGAAAAACTGCTACAAAGAACATTATTAACCTTTGTTCAATTTGAATATAGACTGTGGATTAGACAATAGTATTGTATGAAAATTAAATTTCCTGAATTTGATCACTGAAGTATCGTCTCGTGGGTGAATGTCCTTGTTTTTAGGAGACATACACTATAGTATTTAGGGGTAATATTTAGATGCAAAGAGGTATCGTATCTGCAATTTGCTCTCAAATGGTTTAGAAAAAAATACGTATATATATCCACATATACACATACATACGTTCCTATGTATGTGTGTGTGTGTGGATATATATATAGAGAGAGAGTGCAAATATAACAAATGTTTAACAGTTGGTGAATCTGGATAAAGCATGTATGTACAGGAGTTCTAGCAAGTCTTCGGTACGGTAAACTTGAAATTATTTCAAAAGAAAAAGAAAAACGAAAACCTCAAAATACAAAAAAACCCCACATCACTTCCATATTAAAAACCCTCACTGGGGGCTGACTGGTTAGCTCAGTTGGTTAGAGCACAGTGTTATAACACCAAGGTCGAGGGTTCGGATCCCCGTATAAAATAGAACAAAAAAACCCTCACTGGCTTCTCAATGTCCTCAAAATATAGACCAAACTGTGTCAGTTTGCTACACAAACCTTTGGGTGGTTGGACTCCTGCTCACCTCCCCCATCAATTGCCCTTACCTGGAACCCACACCCTCACACATCCGTCCATCCATCTGTCTGGCAATCACAGTAAGAACTTGAGAGCGAGCCCTCAGAGTGGGACTGCTTTGTCCCAGGCCCCATTCTAATTACTTTATACATTCCAAGTCACTTAATCTTTGCATCAAGCCTAATTACCCCCATTACAGAGGAGGAAGCTGAGGCCCAGAGTGGTCTCTAGAACTTGCCCAAGGCCACAGCTAGCAGCTGGCAGAGCTGGGATTTGTAACTAAGCCACGGGCTTCAGGGTCCAGGCCCAGGGTCCACCACACTACCCACCTCCTGCAATAATTGAGCTCCTTGGGGCTTTTTCAGCACCAAATGTGCATATGCTACTCCCTCTAGCTGGGATCCTTCCTCTAGCTCAGCTGAGACCTCCTCCAGGAAGACTTTACACACCCCTAAGGCAGGTGACTCTAGCCCAGAGCTCTTTCTAAAACTTGTGCCTACTTCCACTGTTGTCTTCCTCTCACTGCCATCCCAGAAGCTCCCTGCTGGAGAGGGACATGCCTCACCTCATCCATCCTGAGCCACACACCCCCATCCCCCCACACAGGGATTGGCACACATGGTGTCAGCAGATGTTCAGTGAATGAATGTGTGGGCAAACAGAGACAAAGATCCAGAATAGAGGCAGATGTGATCAGAGAGACCAATAGGGAGAGGGCATGGCCATACCAGGCTCAGGGTATTGTCAGATCACTCTGAGGACATCCCCAGCTTCGAGGCTGGGTAGTGGTGGACAGGAGAGCCTCATATGCAAACCAGAGGGGTGGGAGTGGGTGCTGGGGTCGGCAAGCTCACAAGGCCTGCAGGTATGCCTGGAGGATGCCAGGGCATGTGGGGAAGCAGAGGTGCCCACCTTACCCTGGAAGTTGGGGGCGAGCTCCATGGTCTGGCCCGTCGTGGGGTCCTCGCAGATCACCTTCTGGAGGTGAACCTGGGTAACCTTGATCAGGTCCCCTGTGGAGAGGCAGCACTCACTCCCAGAGATCTCATAGATGGAGCCTGCAGAGACATGGACTCAGTTTCCACATCGAGTGAGGACCAAGTGCTGGGCAGCCTGTGCCCTATTCCCCAACAAGCTCTGCTCTGCCGCCCCTTTGCCCACGTTGTTCCTGCTGCCTGAAACGTCCTTCCCTCTCTTCCCCTATCCAATGCCCCCAGGCTCAGCTGTCCTCAGGCAGCATAAATCCATCTTTGCCTTCTCGTAGTGTTGGATACACCCCTCTGTGGTGCACCCCTCTGACCTTTTTCACATCCCCATGCCTCCTACACTGAACTTACAGGTAGGGCTGCCCTATCTCAGCATCACTGAAGCCAGCACAGGGCCTGGCCTCTGAGTATGTGTTAAATCCATGAATAAGTAAATAACCCAGTGAGTCCCAACTCCTTTATTGTACAGCCATGAAATCAGGCTCAGAGAGAGTCAGTGGCTCTCCCAAGGTCACCCAAAGCCAGGGTGGGTACCCAGCCCTACCAACACCTTGCTTTCTTCTTCAGACAAGTTGTTTTGTTTGTTTGTTTGTTTGTTTGTTTTTAAAAGATGACTGGTAATGGGATCTTAACCCTTGACTTGGTGTTGTCAGCACCACGCTCTCCCAAGTGAGCTAACCAGCCATCCCTATATAGGGATCCGAACCCGTGGCCTTGGTGTTATCAGCACTGCACTCTCCCAAGTGAGCCATGGGCCAGCCCCAGACAAGTTGTTTTTAAAGGAAGCACAGGAGAGAATGGAGGGACACTGACAGGATGAGGCTCAGTGGGCAAGGTTCTGGGCACCCACCTACACACTTAGCTGGTTTCCTGGTTTAAAGTACTGAAGCAGTGTCGAGAACATAGCAGGTACTCAATAAAGGTCTCTCACATTCACACAAGAGTGCACAGGCCCTCCATCCAACTGACAGAGGACAGGAAACGCAGATGGCAGGGCCTTGAGGCCACCTGACCCCAACCTCACCCCCCAGGGCACCCCCAGCAGGGCCCTTCTCATCAGCCCTGAGAAACCGATAAAAACCAGGAAAATGCCCATAGGCTCATAAAACACAATCCCGTCTACAATGTCAGGGTATGGACCTTCTGGACAGGGTGTAGACCTTCTGGACTAGTGAGCAGCTGCAGTGCTATTCATACTGGGCACTGAACTAAGGGCTGCATCATTGCATTTAAGACCCATGACTGCTCTTGAGAGGATGGGAAGTTTCTCTTTCCTAAACAATGAAACTGAACCTCGGAGAAGTTGTGTGGGTCACCCAGGATAATTAGGTAATAAGAGGCAGAAGTGGGAACGGAACCCAGGATGTTTGCCTCCAGTGCTGGTGCTCCTAACCACACGCCAACCACTTCTGAGTGTCCTACCCTGCCACCTGTCCCTATTGTTATGGCCATCTGCCTCCTCCACACTCACCCCCATCTGCACACTACACCCTGTCAGGTTCTCTGATCAACCTCACCCTAACTTCCGCCACTTCCCACCATCCGGGGTCAGGCAGAATGAGGAAACTAAAGTATTGTGACACTGGCAGGCAAGGGATGCTGGGAGGACAGAGGGGCTTGATCCTGGGCTGGGGGAAGAGCAAACAGATCACAGGCATGTACCTGTAGGAAGCCCCCAGACGTAGAGTCAGAGTTTGAACCCAGATCCATCAGATTCCCAGATGGACCCAGAAAGACTCACTCTGAGGTGTCTCAGCCTTGGCCGAGGACCCCACGTGGGACCTCAGAAACACTGTGCTGAAAGTTGCGGTGGCAGAGCAAGTTTTCCTCCAGCAAGAGAACAGGATGGGGCAGTGCACTCATGCATTTTGCTCTCTAAGGAAGGAAACTGCACACCGACACGACATCTCTCAGTTCTCTTTCCTCTACCTCTGCCTTCCCACTTGGTGGCCCAGGGTTCCTCCTCCCCACTCACTGCACTTCAACACCCCTTCCACTGCCTGTCAACCCCTCGCCTCTTGCTCTTTCAGGCAATGACTAACCAGTGACTGTGCCCCTGCTGTGTACCCATCCCTGTGAGTCAGGTGGGCTGTGGGCAGAGGCCAGATGAGCGGCCGTTAAAGTAGAAAAGAGCCCGGAAGGCTTCCCGGAGGAAGGACCATTTGATCTGAGAACTGAAGAGCCTGATCAGATCAAGTACTGCCCATCCTCAAGCAGAGGGCCAAGGTAGAATGGAGGGACTGAAGGAAAACAGTGTAGATGGGCATGGGGGTGGGGGGAGGAGTGGGAAGGCACCGAGATGGGAGGACTGACCTGGCACTTAAGAAATCAAGCAGACTGGCCGGTTACTCCGTTGGTTAGAACGCGGAGTTGTAACACCAAGTTCAAGGTTTCCGTACCGGACAGCCGCCCGAACAAACAAACAACAACAAATCAAACAACAGCAAGAATCACGAGCGCTCTGATGCTGCGCCCGCACACCCGGAGCTCCGCCAGTGAGCCCCGTGGTTCCACCGCGGCTCGGCTCGGTTTCAGCCGCCTTTCCTGCCTGAACTCGCGGATTTCTCACCACCGCCCTGCGGTGTCTGACATCCCCGCTCCACGGAAGCCAAAGCCGAGGCCCAGAGAGGTTGAGAGTGGTCCCCAATCACACAACCTGCGCAATGGCGCGTCAGGGTTCGAACCCGGGGACAGTTTCCCCAGGTTTCTTCTATTTTTTCATTTTTACCCCTGGTTCATCCCTGGGTTTCTAACGCCTTCGCATGGCCTCTGCCCGGGTCCCACAGCTGCGGAGTCTAGCCGCAGTGGGGCCGGGGATCGGAGGGGTCCCGGCCCCCACTCACCCTCGAAGTAAACCCCAGAGCAGACCCGCAGCACGCGCGGGAGGGAAGCGGGGTCCAGGGCGCGCACGAAATCCTCAAGCGGCACCGCCTCCATGGTCCCCGCAGCTTGCCGGGCGCAGACTGAGCGGCCCGCTGACAGCCAGTCTGCAGAGCCGCGCAGCCCCGCCCTGCCGCGCCCCGCCGCGC